TCCAGAAATGAAGCCATAGGTGCTGCCAGGTGTTGCCAGGAGGTCCTCAGAGCGCAGCCTGTGCCTCATGCAGCCACCCACAGCCACACAGGACTGAGCCAGGATTTGGCCAGACCCTGCTGCTGCTCCACAGCCCTGGAGCCAGTCCCAGAGCTCCCCAGCTCCTCCAGCTGCACTGGCAGCCATCTCCTTGTCCTGCCCCCCCACAGCTTTGTGTCACCCCTCTGCTCTGCACCCCAGTGCTCTGCAGCAGCCAGCAACACCCCAATAAACACCTCAAAGAAGGGTCTGGGTCCAGGCAAGTCACCCCTCAGTCCACCCCAACAAGGCCAGCACTGCCTTCACCTCTGGACTGCTGATGCCCTGGCACTGTGTTCCTGGCCTGGGGGGTGCCAAGGGGGTACTGGGGGGCTGTGCAGCCCCCTGCATGCAGCTCCATCATCCTCTCCCCAAACCTCACTGCATTCCCGGGGTTGTGGTACTTCCAGATTCACTCTCGGGTGCCATAGTGCACGTGAATCTGCCTGGTGAGTGAGAGAAAGCCCCAATCGCCGAGCACAGTGTCAGGAAAAGCACCGTGCCTGATGCCATGGGGCCGCATAGACTTGGGGGGCACTGGGGACTGGCACAGGATCAGCCCTTCCCCTGGGACAAGCCTTGGCCCCACAGTGGTCTTGCTGGTCCCTAGGGGCATCTGAGGCAGTGAAACACCCTATGCCCCTGTCCCAGACTGTGTTCTCTGAGGGGCTGCTGCCTGGGCTGGACCCCTGCCTGCAAGGGCTTCCCCAAGCCTGCCTACACAGACAGCAGCCCATGGGAGAGCCAGGCAGGGAATGTCCTTTCCATGCTCTGAGCCGGCTTTGGGGGGCTATGGGGGCTGTGGGGGCTTGGACCAAGGGTGCAACCTTGGACCAAGGAGAGAGAGGCTGCAGCGTTAACCCTGGGGCTGCAGCCCCTTGCAGGATCCCTCTCCCCTGTGCGTCCAGCCTGGCCTGCCACACACTTGGGCTGGGACTGGGGTGTTTGGGGTGAGTGGTGCCAATTCCCCTGGCGCAGGCTGAGCGGTGGGAGGGGATGGGGAGCAGCTCCCAGCAGCAAACTGATGCGGTGCCCTGGCGATCCTGCAGCCCCCAGGGTGGGGAGCAGCCCTCTGCTCCCAGCACCGGCGTTTTGCAATCTTAGCGGAAACTGGTAACACATGTTGTTTATCAGGGACTTATGTAAGGGACTGCCTCGTGACTTGCCCAAAGCCAGCCCCTGTCCCCACTGCCCACGGACGGGGCAGTTGTGTCCGGCCACGGTCACAGACCTCCCCCTGCTAGGCCACTCAGTTGAGCTGGCAGAGTCGGGGTGTTACGGATCTGGCTCACTTTCTGCTCTGCACCCACCTGCACCCCAGGACTGGCTGGAACCGTGGGAGGGTGATGGGAGAGGAGGGGAGAGCCTTGCCCTCCTGCCCTGGGGAGCTGGGGCCCCCCTGCACCCTGGCTCAGCCCGGCCCACGTTTATCTGGTATGAACACATTTCTGGGGTGCACACACCTGGGTTGTGCCTAAGGGTCTGTGTCCACGCACCGTGGTGATCCACAGCCCAGGTACTTCCATCCTGTCGTGCCCTCCAGCCCTGGCATCAGGCTCAGCCCCATGCCGGTGCCCCTGCGTGCCCCCGTGCTCCTGAGCTTGGACCCAGCTTTGCTACCCAGGTCCTTGGGCTGGACCCCGGATTTGCCACCCCCCAGGAGAGCTGGGAGAGGGGG